TTGAAACCTTCTTTTATCTATTATTCTCTTCATAGCCAGATTCCCAGCTTTACTCACCAATGCTGCCAAATCAGCACCAACAAAACCTGGTGTGAACCTGGCTATCATGAAGCGGTCAAATTTACCCTCAATTCTAAGGTTACGAGTCAGCACTGACAATATTTCTGCACGTGCATTTTCATCAGGGACACCTAAAGCTATCTCTCTATCAAAGCGTCCAGGTCTCCTCAGAGCTTGGTCAATTGCATCGGGTCTATTTGTAGCTCCAATTACAAGAACATAATCAGACATTCTATTTGTTATTTTTTCAGATGCTTCTGGGCTAGAATCACTATCAATTGCTCTCAGAATTTGCTGTGGCTCATCCATGCAAGTCATAAGCTGTGTCACTATTCTACGTTCCATCTCCCTTTGCAAGTTTTCCCTCTTGGAAGCAATGGCATCTATCTCATCAATGAATACAATGGAAGGAGCAGTTCGGTATGCCTTGTTGAAAAGGTCACGTATGCTTTCTTCAGATGCACCTGAAATAACCACATTTTTCAGTTTGTTAAAAACCCATTAACAAAAGTAGAAAGATATTTCAGAAGTCGAGCATCATGTTCTTCATACTACATTAAACATACATGAACTACAAGACAAATATATATCTTATTTTGATAGCTTGATGAAAGTTTAAGAAAAAACATTGGGACTGCAAAGTCAAAGATGGCAGACGCAATTATCACGCTAGATAAATTGTAAAAACTTAGGAATAAGAGAAAATTTAAAATGTTAACCATGAATAAGAGGGCTCAAGATTTGTTGAAAAGGGTCTAAATATGATCAAAATGCAGCTTTTAGAATGAAAAGGAAGAGTAATCATCATTATTAGCTTCATCTCAGTAATTTGTGGCATGCTTTATCAAATTAACCTTCTTTCATTCCAATTGAGATTACATAAGGTATTAACTCAAGTTTAGTGTCTGGCTAATGGTTTGATAAGATAATTCTTTATCAAATCAACATTGGGATTGCAACCCCAAAAAATGAAAGTTCTAGCAAATGGTGAGGCCCATCCTAGGCGGCAACTAGTTCAAAAATACATAAAAGACAAAAGACTATGCGGGGACTTAAAATATTCTTCAAAAAGGAAGCTAGTCAAATATTCTTTACTAGGCATATTTCTGGATATTAATTTGGACAAATTAGCTTCAAAATTCATTATTTCATAAAAAAAATGAATGAAATTTTTTATTTCAAACAAAAAAGACATAAAAATCGGCGAACTAATGGACACTCATTACAAATGTGTTATGCGACTTTGAACTTGTTTCAAGCTTGATGTCATTAGAGAGCCTTAATTCATCTCAGACTTAAGTTCTCTAAGGGAGAGTTCAACCCATTCATTGAACTTACCACAAATTAAAGTTGTCCAAGGGAGAGTTCAACTCATAAAAAAAAAAGGTCATCTAAAAGAGAGTTCAACTTATCCAATAACTAGGGTTATCAAAGGGAGAGTTTAATTAGTCCGAGAACTAAAGTAGTTCATAGAAGAGTTCAATTCACATACATACATATAGGCTTTTTGAACAGCTTGAAAGCTTGTAATGATGAATAATTGTGAAGCCTTGTTCTTTATTTGGAATCATAAAATCAATTTGTATACCATTCAAGCCAAAAATGTATATATTTTCCTTATGAAAATAGATCATTTAAAAGTAAATCAACAAAAATAGTACAACTTCACTTTACCTGAGACACCAGAAATCACATCAGTAGCAGAAATTTTATAGAATGGCACGCCAGTCTCATTCGCAATTGCACAAGCCAATTTTGTTTTCCCACACCCAGGCGGACCATGCAACAATATTCCAGCTGTCGGTCTCACCCCAAGCCTTTTGGGCAGCTCTGGATGGCACAACGGTACAATCACCTCCATCAGCAAATCCTCCAAAACCATGTTAAGGCCTCCGAGATCCTGAAACCTCGGCCCTTCCCTCCCCGTCTCCCCACTTACCATGCTACTCCCATGATCACTGCCAACAGCTCCCAAACCCACTACAGGAGCCTCCTTCCCACTTCCCCCACCCTTTTTTATCGAGATCACAATCTTCCTCTTCTCATGAGCAACCGCCTCAATCTCAACATTCTTCTCCTCCTCTTTTTTAAAGCTCTGCTCTGATTGTTTGGCATACCTCTCCCGGAGCATGGATTTCGTCACGTCGCACTCTGGTTTAATATTCTCCTCAAAATCAGCATTATCGGAAGTGGAAGTTGAATCATCTGACGATTCGGACTGCGAGGAAGGGGCGACCTGGTTTACTTGCAACAGGCGAAGATGCTTGGATTCTGCACGAAGGAGCCGCTCCTCAAATACGTCCTCCTTTCCACGCTTCCTGCGAGATGACCTCTCGCCATCGGAAAATGAGGACGATGAGGTGTTGCCTGCGGCGGGGGGTTTAGTATTACCATTGCGGATGTATTGTAATACTTCGCTAAGTCGGGCGGAGAATGGCCGTATCTTTATCCGAGCGTAGTCGGGGTATTGGTCGCGAAGGCGCTGAATGACGATATCTGGGTCGGGGGTGCTGTTTAGATTTAGGGTTTGGATACGGCGAATAAGTTTGGATCGATCCATGACTGATGATGGGGAAAATGGCGAGCGACCGCCGCCGCGACGTAGCCGCTTCCTCATCAGCGCGCGAAAGGTAGAAGAAGCGACGCGTGCAATCTCTACAACTCCTGGCAAGGAAGCCGAACAGCAACGAAGATGAAAGGCAAACCCTAGACGTTATTATTGATTAACTTAATTAATATAATTTAAAATATTAATAATTATGCAAATTAATTAAATAATTAATAGTATAATTTGTACATAAATTAATTGTCTAATTTAAATTAATTGAATAATTATTAATTTAATTAGTAATTTAATATTAATAGAATTATCTTAATATATATACCTTTTATATATATACATAAATCTTGAAATATGTTAGTAAATAGTTTCTTAGGATTTAATAGAAATTAGCATTTATCATATCAAACAGTTTTCAGGATGAAGAGGAGGAATGCATCGGACATAGTAATAGCCTGCTTGATTTATATTTGTTGATATGACATTCTTCTTGCTGATAAGACTAGAGAAGGAGTTGATGAAGAGGAGGAATGCATCGGACATATTATGTGATGGAAAAGTTGCTCTCAAATTTAAGAAAAAATTTTATAAGATGGTGATGAGACCTCCAATGCTTAGAATGTGAAATGAGTATATACACAAAAATATTGGAGTAGCTCTAATAGAAAATAAGATTAGAAAGAGATGCCTTGGATGGTTTAGTCATATAAAACATACCTTCTGATGACCATGTTAGGATAGGATATATTAGATCCGGCCTATGTTCACAAAGATAAAGATTAGAGGTAGACCTAAAAAGAGTTGGTTGGATCTATTAAAGATGACATTTTTATTAGATTTAAATGAGATTTTGACTTTTAACATGACACAATAGAGAAAAAAAGATTCATATAGCCGACCAACGTAGTGAGATAAAGACTTGTTGTTGTTGTTGTAAGTGTTGCCCAATATGACGACGTCTTTCTTGTTGAGAAATCAATGAAAACATTTTGTTAATGTGAAGTATTGGATTCATAAAAAGAATTTTTCTACTAACTCGAGTAAAAAGTAGCGTGATCAGATGATGCTGCTCAGCACCTTCATAAATACAACCTCCACTTAAAAAAAAAAAAAAATTCTCAATTCCTCCCATAATTTATTTAATTTAGTGAAATATACACAGCATATTCTTGATCTTGTTTTAGATTAAATAGTTTGTAATATAATTGAAATTTTTGTGGACCGTCATCCTGTTGGGAAGTAATCCTTTTAAGTAACATCAATCCAAATTTCTTATGCAGTATCTGAATAAAGATTACTAATAGAAATTTTCTTTGAAACTAAGGCTTCGTCTGGGACGATTTTTTTATTGCTTCTTTAAACAGCTTTTTAGCACAAAAATTAAAAAAATGTTGTAGTAGAAAGCAGCTTTAAAAAACAATAAAAAAGCTATCACAAACGAAACCTAAATCCAAAATCCAAAAAAATTATGATATTGTTTTTCAAATCCAAGAATTGGTAAGATTTGAATCAATATGACCATAGATGCTGGTCATGGGATGGATCAATCAATGAACCACAATTTTTTTTTTAATCAAAATGGCTGTCACCATGGCTATGTTCATGGGCGGACCCACCTTAAGGCCGGAGGCAATTGCCCACCATGAAAAAATTAAATATATATATATATATATATATGTGTGTGTGATTCTTTAGGTAATTTGTCCCCCTCCGTGTATTTTCTAGTCTTTATTACAAGAATTTTTAGACAATTGTATTTGTTAATTTGAATTTCAAAAACATAATTACAATCAAAACTTATTACGGGGGCACTACCACGAAAATCTTAGCAGGAGCGCTGTCCTCTTGGACCCCCGACATATCTGTGAAGCGTATGACGTTCAATGAGACGAACAAATAGTAGTCGAACCAAATTCAAGCTAATATCAAGTGTTACTTGTAAATTTGCCCATCTCCCTTGAAAATCAATACGAGTTCCGCCCCTATGTGTAATTGTCTCATTCTACTTATATGCAGTTACTGTACTCAGACATCAGCAGACAATGTAATGTAATAGTTGACGGTATGAGTTCCCCTACATAAGCTCCTTGGTCTTCGTATTAGCGAATTATATTTATATGCAAGTTAATTTTCATTTGTCCATTTAGGCTTAGTTTGGGACGGCTTTTTTATTGCTTTCTAAAACGGAGTTTTATTACAAATTTTTTTATTTTTGTATTAAAACTCCGTTTTAGAAAGCAATGAAAAAGCCGTCCCAAATGAAGCCTTAATTTTAATAAAGATTTAAGCTGTTTTTTCCTTAGGTTGTAACAGAAAACAGGTCTGTCAACATTCTTTTATTTTAAAAATTTCTGTTAGTCGCTGATTTTGGAATTATAGAGGTGAAGATAATTTTGTTTTTCTACAATTTCAGAAGTGTTTGAGCTACATATGGAGGAGTTGCGTAGAAAGCAAGAGGAGATTTCTAAGAAAGATGGTGAAATCAAAGTATTGGAGGCTATAATACAAACACTCAGTAGAAATGGCTCAACTGCCTCAGAAGATTAAGCAGCAGATATGTTTATCTGTTTTAGCTTGTGGAGCTGCCTTAGCAACCATGTAGGTCTATGCAATATTTGCATTATTTTTTCTTTACTATATTGTTATAGCTTCTTCTTTGCAGGCAGAATTATACTTTGGCTTCGTTTGGAAAGGCTTTCTTACTACTTAAAGCAGTTTTATAGTACAAAATTTTTTATTTTTGTACTAAAAAGCTGCTTCATAAGCAATAAGAAAGCCGTCTCAAACAAAGCCTTTGTTTGAGACAGCTTTCTTCCTGCTTTTTAAAATTATTTTTTAATATAAAATTTTTAATTCAAGAAATTTTTGTACCAAATAAAACATTAATCTTATTCACGGAGCTGCATTATGTCAAAAATATTATTTCAGCAAGTGTCGCCGGAGGTTATGCTATGCTGTTAAACCAGATGGAGAGCTTCATCAAGCTCGAATATTCATCATGGGCATCCAAGCTTCAGGAATATGAGCAAATCTACCCTCTGTGAATTTGTTTCTTTAGGTTGCTATTCACAGCATAATCATAAAAAAAGATATGCTACTCTTTGTAACCCAAATTGGACAATCTATTTTTAATATATAAGCCTGAAACATAATTGATGTTATCAAGTTTCTGAAAGTGAGATCTTTGAAGAAAGCAGTACAATTATTATGCAATTCATTAAGAAAGAAATGTAATGCTATAATACAAGATTGTATTATCAATTGATGGCTTGATGATCAAGATCAATAGACTATTTAAGTGAAATTCCAATTATCATAGAATAAGAATACGTTTTTAGTATATTTTGTATAAATTTGCATTTGAACTTTCAATTATAGATTATCATAAATTATGCTATAATCACTTTAGAATTGATGACTTTCTTAGATCAATGAGTGTTGGGGATGTGAAAGTAAGCCACGCGTTGCGAAACAAAAATGAAAATAGAAATGCAGTGAAAAAGGACATCCGGATTTAACATGAAAAAATTTAAAATGGAATAAAAAAATTATGGAGCCAAATCACATCAAAAAAATCATTATGAAAATTAGGAGAAATATGTATAAATTTCTCTTCTCTTGCGCTCTCTTCTTGGTTCTCTCATCTCTTGCACCATTTTCACTCAAAAATCACATGAAAGTAATGTAAACATACATTAAGGAATGCCACCCTTCAGAAAAAAATTTGTCTAGCGTTGTGGCACTACATAGTACTGCGGCGTTGAATCTAAAGTGTTGTGGCGCTCTACTCTCTGACTTTTTTTCTAGCAAACTTTATAGCATCGGGACACTCGGGTGCACAACGCAGGGGCACTCAGGTGATGAGTTGCTATGAGCAACCTATATATATGTTGATGATGGAAAGATAAATTTTGGTCGCTATGAGCAACCTATATATATATATATATATTCAAAACTAAATTCATAATTCACACCAACTAAAACTAAAAATAAAAAAAGGACAAAATGAGTAGATTAAAAGAATAATTAAATTAATTAAAATTAGTTATATGCTGTCCAACTATAAAGTACTCTACTTGGGGAATAATCCTCCTATCTCTTTCCATCAAGTTTTTATCCAAACAAACCTTCACACACCACCTCTCACACTCACTCTCCTATCACTTCTTTATCTCCTCTCATTTTCTTCTCTATCTTCTTCTACATATCTTATTTCCATATATAATAGATTAGTCTAAATAGTTATAAGCTGTCCAACTAAAACTCCACTTGGGGAATAATTTCCTATCACTTTCCAACATTTTTATGAGCTGCAACTTTGTAAATGACATATATAATCAAAACATAATATAATAATTCCATTAAAATATGAAGGAATCAATTGTTGATTATTGTTAGAGCTTTGTAAGACAAGCCATGCAATTTTTTTTATATAAGAAATCTTTATCACATATTGACTTTTAAGTAAAAGATAATCTCTAGGTTTCTACAAGAATGTGGCTAAAACATATTTGGATTATTCTTTCTTGTTATGTTGTTGGTCTTCTTTTTTCTGTCGAGTGGCGATGATGGTTCGGAGTTTGGTTGGTGGGGCTGGCTGACTGTTGGTTTTGTCTCTTCGCTTGGTTAGAATGCTTTTGAGTTTGGTTGATTGTTGTCAGTCCTATTGGGGGTTGTCAGTTAGCCATTTGGTTTCTCTCTTATTATCTGCTATATTTTTTCTACCTGTTTGTCTTTTGTGCAGATTGATTATTGACAGGTCCTCCGTTTTGAGAGGTTGTTGTTTCCTCCTCACTTTGGTTGTTTGTGTTGCCTCATTCTCTATTTGTAGGCTGTTGGTATGATTTTATGGTTTTTGTCTTCTTGATTTTTTCCTTTTGCTTATGTAATAGATATGATCTTTGACTCCTAGGTTTTTCTTCAAATGTTATATTTTGTAGAGAGCTTTTTAGATCCTATGAGGACTTGTATTTATTTTTCTCAATTAACGTGTAGGTCCCGTTGTGTGTTTCAACAAAAAAAATCTCTAGGATCCTAATATAGCAATACAAATCAGATTAAATAAAATGTAGAGAGAAAATTTAAAACAAATAATTACATTGAATTTAAAGCAAGCAAGATAAACAAATTATCATTAATCATTTAATGATCATAATTGTGCACAATCTAGTGAGTCAAAGTTGATATTAGGATCTCATTAATTAGATCGGTTACACGTTCGATCTTGGGTTTGTATATTGGATTCAATATATTCATAAATTATCCCTTGAATTACAAATGATCAGTCGAGGACTTCGGTCCTAAGACCAAACATAAATGACTCGAGACCTTCATGAATTAGCAAGATCAATCTGGCTTATCCCTAGCCAATATGGCTCACTTTGGTTAAATCTTGAATTTATTGAATTAAAAATTTGTGTACTAAGAAATCAAGTTGCCTAATATCTTCTACCTACTTAAATACTCATATATATATATATATATAACAAAATGATCTGCATTAGCATTCTGAAGCAAGCAGGTTTTTAATGATTTGATTTGATTTGCAAGCTTACGAATTGTCAGAGCACATAAGCAAACAACTTATTTAGAAATGAATTGACGTTCAATTTGCTTGTCATGCAAACTTCAGTCATAAGTGGACAAGTGTCTTGGCGGTTGGTGCTCAATGTGTGCTTGAAACATAAGCTAATAGTGCAAATAGAGGTTTTGTTTGTGACCTTATTTTTTTTTATTGCTTCTTAAAATAGAATTTTGATACAAAATTGTAAATTTTTGTACTAAAATCCAGTTTTAAGAAACAATAAAAAAGCCGTCCCAAACAAAATAATAGTCTATTTGGGACGGCTGCAACTTTTTTATAAAAATGATTGTAAAATTAATATGAAGAAAATATTTTTTTAAGCTATTGTAGAAAGCAGCTTCTTAGCATAAAAATTTATTGATGCCAGTGAAAAGCAGTAGCAAAATAAAATTGTGATTACGGACTGAAAAACAAAATAATAGAAAAATTGGCCGAAATGAAACCATAATTCTCTTAAGTTCCCTTAAAAATAAGCTTCAATTCTCATGTCCATATCTAAGATTATTAGTCATAAATTTTATGAGATTGATTGGCCTTTAAACTTTAATTTCAAGATATGACCTCGCTCTAAGTTTGGATTTTTTTTTTTTTTGAATTAGCTTGAATGAGGTTAGTCAAGAGTAGGAAGTTTTGACTTTGGTTCAATCTTTGAGATAGTTTTGAACTGGGCTCAGCTTGAATTGATTTGGTTTAGTCGACACGAAATATTGCATAAATATTTTTATGTTTTGTTATTAAAGAATAACATTTAATGGACTATTTGCATATGCATAAGTAGCATTTGAATTTAAATGCACCTCCATTAATTCTTAAGAATTTTAGTTCTTCTTTACACCAATTCAAAATTTGACTTAGATGATGAACATCATATCATTCAAATAGTTTCACCCTTAAAGGTCCCCAAAGCCAATTTGATGATGTCCACATCAATTGGATTAGACACTAAGGATGTTAAATTAGTTGAAAAGAAGTTGTAATCATGAATGAAATAAAGGTCATACATGTTAATATAAGGAAAAAGTTATAAGTCCTTAAAGAATCATGGGCTTTCTAAAAATGTAACATTTAAATAAAATCTTATGAGCTATTGGTTCTACCTATTATAGGAATTAAACGGAAATCAAAACACAAGAAAAAGTATAATAAGGTCAAACAGAAATAAACCAGATGATCCAGCCAGCAAAACATGCAGATAAAAGGAACAACCAACGGCACGAGCAGGCCATAAAAGAGATAAGCACTTGCGAATATATAACTTGCACAAATAAAAGAGGAAGAAACAACAATGAACCAAAGGAAACGAGGTCATAAAGATACCAGAACTTACCCCGCCAAAAATTTGGGCCATTATCATAATACAAAGATTAAAGAAGGGTTTGCTTTGTTTGAAGTTATGACCAAATTTCTTACCATTCTCTAGATGTAGTAGTCCATGGACTCACAATTCAGCTAGATGTTATCTCAATAAAATAATATCCTCAAATGATGAGATAAATAATTCAAGAATAATGAATAGCTGAGTTTTTATTTATTTATTTATTTATAGAAGTTAATTTTATTAGGGTAAAAAATATTGCATATGATTAATTAGTCATTTCTAAGATTTCATTTGGAATTACTTTCTTACTGCTATTTAAAAAAAAAATTTAATGCAAAAATTAATTTTTTTTTATCAAAAAACTACTTTAGAAAAGTATAAAAAAGCCGCTCAAAATAAAACCTTAAGTCCAATAAAAAAAATAAATAAATAGTATGCTTCTATATTGTCATAATTAATGCCTAAAACTATCACTTTATAGAAATAAGAATTGTCTACAATCCTAAGTTATCCATCAATACAAAAATATTATCTCTTCTTAATGCAAAAAAAATAAAAATAAAAAAATATTATATGTTATTACATAAATCAATTTAATAGAAATTTTTAACTCTACTTTTTTAAATTAGAAATAACATCATATATATTTAATCTCATTTAAATCTTAATATGTGCAACAAATTTATTAAATTTAAATAGATTTAATATTTTTAATGTAAATATATGAATATAATTTATTATTTTATATACCTAAATTTTAATCTTTATATAATAGATATAATACATTAATATAATTAAAATATAAAATATAAAAATTTAGATATTACATAGAATCTCTTCCTCTCTCTCTCTCTCTTTGTCTTAATGATTACGCATCAAATTTTTTTATTATAAATTGAGCGTCTTTGCATTTCTACACAGAGGTAAAACGCACGTGCTTTCCCTCTCTTATAACTCGCAAGGCCTCTGCTCCTCCTCCTCCTCCCCATTCTGCTCTCCTCCATTTGTATATCTTCGCACAAAACCATTCCAGCAATGGGAAATTGCCAAGCGGCGGAAGCAGCTGCAGTCCTGCTACAACACCCAAGTGGCCCTTCCGAGAAATTCTACCACTCGCTAAGCGCCAGCAACGTCATGGCCTCTAATCCCGGCCACTATGTCGCCGTCATCATCACCTCACGGTCTAACCCCAACTCCTCCGGCTCTGCCTCCGCCGCTCCGGTGAAGTACCTCAAGCTTCTCCGCCCCGACGATACCCTCCATGTCGGATACATCTATCGTCTAATTAGCTTCCAAGGTTTGCCGTTTCTTCGTCATTTCGATTTTCAGATGTTTGATTTCTTCGGTTTTTGATCAAATTGGAGATCGATCAGAAGTTCTCAGTGTATTTAAGTCGAAGAAGAAAGTGAGGCTTAGCAAATTGATTGTTGGCTGCAAGGACAAGAGGAAGAGCTGCGAGAGTAGAGGAGGCGGAGATCGAGCGGCTGAGTCCAGCGATAGCTCGCCGCCGGCGACGGTAGGTTAAATTAAAACTTCAATTTTTTTTTTTTTGCACAAAAATTTTATGTTTGAAGGGAATATTTCTGGGAATTGATCGTTGGGCCGTCTCAAAAGAAGGGAGCTCTGGTTCAAAGACCATAGCAGAGAGAGAGAGAGAGAGAGAGATCTGACACATTGAAAATCTCTATAGGTGTGAAGTGGACTAAATTATTGTTTAAGTCCTAAGTATATAATTTTGGGCAAAATTAAATAAATAAGATGTAAAATATAATTATTAATTAAATTAGAAAAATTTAAACATAGTTTATATAACTAATTTAAATTTTATTTGAGATAACTTTTGAGTTTTGGCACTACTTTTTGTTGCATTCAAAAAAATTTCGAATTAAAAAATTGCTACAGTAGTAAAAAAGTTATCTCAAATGTAGGAAAAATTATTCTGTGCAGATCGGAGACTAACTAGGACACGTTACGTCTCTTTTATTCTCGGCACCGGAACTCGATACCAGGTGACGTGGTGCGTTATGGTTGGTCTCCGGACCGTCCAGTGTCTGCACATAATAATTTCTCCAAACTAACTATTAATCTCAAAGTATCATGTTCCTTAAATTTAGTCAATCAAGTATACAATATTGATTCGGAATGATGCATTATATTATAATAATGATATAAAATTGATTTCAATTTAGTCCCTCAATTATACTAAATTGATCCCAACTTAATCTCTCTGAGATTAAATTAGGATTAATTTTGAATAGTTAGATGATTAAATTGGAGCAACCTAATATTATGGAATTAAGTTTGTTAGGTTTTATTCCAGATTTTAGGTTTATTTTTTGTATAGCTTGTGTGTGGCTATTTGTATAGCCTTAAGTGCCTATTAATAGGCCTTTTAGCTTGTATTAGGGGGAAGCCAAGGAATAAAGATTTGAAAAGTTTGCACCGGTTCTCTCCCTCTCCCCTCTCCCTCCTCCTCTTGCAAGGTCCATGAGGAAGTGCTTCTTCCTCAAGTGAAGGGATCTCACATCTGGTATCAGAGCTACGATGGTGGCGTTCTCAAGGTGGAGGAGGCAAAGGCGGTTTTCTTGTCCAAAGAAAACGATTCAAAGAAGGAGGTGCGGTCGGCGGCCAAGCTTGGACGTGCGTAAGGAGGCGGTGAAGCCGGACTCGGCACAGGAGATCCGGTGAAACCGCGAAGGCAAGAGGCGGAGCAAAGCGTGCGAACTAGAGACACTGGACGGAAAAGCAAGAGATGTGCATGCAGGCTAAACCAAGAGCTCAAGATCTTTGTCTTCTTTCTTTTCCTTGCGATATCTAGCGATCCAGGAGGAAAGAGAAGGGGACGAGCGTGTACTTCGATCGCGAAAGCAAGATAGGGAGTTGAACGGAGGCTTGCTCGGAGCATACTGCAGTCGGTTAGTCAGGCCGGAGGCAAACGGCCAGGCGACCGGAGAAAGCAAGGCCAAGGCAGAAGCCCGACTGGGCTTGGTGACGCGACTTGTTCGCGTGAGGCGAACGTCCAGGTGAGACCTAAGGATGCCGGAGTTAGCTCCGAGCTCCGGCGTCGGGATCAAGAAACCGGAGGCGGATTGGGGCGGGAGGCTTCAGGCGGATGTGCGAAATTAGAGAAGGTTTCTTGAATCGGGTGGAAATTGCGTGAGGAGTAGTACAAAATTTTTTAAACTATAGTTATTTTTGTTTAGGGCATATTGAGTATTTTTATTGCTTGCTTGGTCTTCTCATTTTTAAAGGAGAGCAACTAATTGTCCCATGCCACACTAGACTTTCAACTATCGACGTTGATCATCATACGTATGATGTTCAATATTTCACATAGAATGTTGACCCTCATTTGTCAATCTTAGAATTAATTTAAATACTTTGAGTCCTCTACTATTTTTGTTGGTCCAAAATTGGGACTAATCGAGTCTACTATATCAATAAGTCCCACACTCCTACTAGAATCTTATTAATCATGTATTGAGATCACTTAGAGTTTCTAGAGTGTACGTACTTGATAATACTGCAACTCTTAAAATTTTGGCCACTACGTAGCTCATTTTGGTCTGTTGGTTGAGAGTTTTGACTACCAATCAAAAGATCTTGGGTTCAAATCTTACGTATGTGATGTGTGTGAGTCTGACTTTATTGGCCTAAATATCCCAAAAAAAATAAAATTTGGCCACTCATTCAAAGTATTCATGTATTGAGTGTTGAATATTCTTCTTAGAAATTGCTCAAGTTTGTGTCCATAAAACTTCACTTTTTAATTTTTATCACATAGTAGTGCATATTCGGCATTTGGTGACCTAATTTACTCACTATAAATACGTCTACATTAAATAATTTATATATTTTTCTCGTTATTTATTCTATTTATTCTTAAAAATTTACTTCAACATTTGCTTAAAAATAGGAGGTAACTAATATGACAAACATTAATAATATTGTCATGAATATATTTTTCACAACCATCCTCTTTATATTCTTAAAATCTTGATTTGGTGTATACTTTCTCTATCTAAAAGTTTAATTAGGTCATCCATAATTCGTAACCAATCTAAAAAAAACTTTTAGTCTATTATTTCCCTATCTTGCTATCTCTTTCCGATTTCTTCAGCTCAACTCTAAGGTATTGGTAAGGACTTAATAAGTAACTCTTATTGATCTATTGGCTAGCAGTTTTGACTACCAATTAAGGCTTCGTTTGTAACAGCTTTTTTAATGCTTTTTAAAGCAGCTTTTTAGTATAAAGTTTTTAATTTTGGTGCTAGAAAGCAGCTTTAAAAAGCAATGAAAATGCCGTTCAAAATGAAAGCCTAAGATGTCTTGGGTTCAAGTCTTGCATATGTGATGTGTGTGATTTGCCTTAGGCTTTGTTTGTGACTGCTTTCTTAATGCTTCGTAAAGCAACTTTTTAGTATAAAAATTTTATTTTTTGTGCTAGAAAACTGCTTTAAGATGTAGTAAGAAAGTCGTCCTAAATGAGACAATTTTCTTAATGATTTATAAAGCAGCTTTTCACTATAAAATTTTTCGAATTAAAAAATTTTAAACTAAAAAGTTACTAAGAAAATTGTTGGAAAGGAAATCTTAATTAACCAAAATTAAGGAGTTGATGTGACTTGACCGATGCAATTGGATCCATCATACATCACATATCATCATCACCAACTACTTTACATGACGCTGCTCTGATTTCAGTAATCTGATGTGGTTTGCAGGCGGCGGAGGACGACGGACGGCAGTGCGGAGTAGGGACAGTTTCGCTCTTGAGGCCTTCGCACTGGCGGCCAGCATTGGAGAGCATCACGGAGGTTGAAGGGAGCTGAGCCCGCCGGCGGTGCGGTGAATTTAATCACTGTTGATCACAGGAAAGTTACTGAAAGATTTATATGTCTTCATTAATAGAATGAGAGAGAATTATTTATTCGAGTATTGGGATGGGAAAGCATCAATGCTTAATCCGAAGTAGTTAAGCGTCCACTTCGAATTAGTTGGCATGTTATGATTTTGTTTGGAAAAATCTGTTTATTGAAAGGGATTTTAAGAGTATTTTAATTAGGAGTAAGTATGGATGTTTGTCTGATTATGGGCTGAAATTTTATCACCGCATGTATGTGCATAGTTGCAGGTTTTCATAGGGCTGTCAAAACCGGGTCATAGGTCGGGTTCGGGTCCAATCCGAAATTGACCCGACACTGTTCAACCCAACCCGAACCCGACCCGTTTTTGCAAACGGTCGGTTTCCCGAACCCGACCCGCTTCGGGTCCTGGTCAACCCGAACCCGACCCGATTCGGGTATAATTCATTAATTTTTTTTATTTAATTCAATTTATTTAAATCTAAATCAAATGAAGGTAAGATTTACTTCAATTAATTTAAAATAAATCAAGATTAATTTAATTTGGGCAATAATGTTTATAATTTTTTGAAATATCATGTACTTATTTCATAAAAATCCATTTAAACCCTCCTAAATTAATTAAAAACGGGTCAAACCGGGTTGATTTCGGATTTTCGGGTCAACCCGAACCTGACCCAGTTTTACAAACGGGTCGAAATCCCTAACCCGAATCCGACCCGGTTCAGGTTCGGGTTGACCCGTACCCGAAATTTTCGGGTAGGGGTCAGCTCGGGTTTTCGGGTCGGGTCAAATATTGACAGGTCTAGGTTTTCACAACCCCATTTCAAACAACTAAGGGCATATCCAACCAAAAAACTCATTTTTTCACTCCAAAATGCAATAATACACCAAAATGCAATAACCTGTCTTTAACCAAACTCTATTTTCTAACACAAAAAAGAATATTCCTAGCATATTATTTCCCATACTTCATTTCATATAATTTTCGAATTAAAAAAAAATGGCAGGTGAACATTGCGACACTAATACTGTTCACCTGCGATGAAATAGCGTCAAAATTGCCGCTCGGTTGGAGCGACGGAAGAACGGCAAATGGTTGTTTGTCGTTCCATTGGAGATGCCATAAGGGGGCATTGTACATTTGCCCCCAATGTCACTGATATCGACAACCAGTCAATTCAGCCTTCTATATGTGTTTACGCCTATTCTTAATCCAAATAGTCCAATTCAGACATTTTTAGGGTCATCGAAATTATTTTTTGCCAACTAAACTTAATTTTGGTACTTTTAGAATCCAAAGGAGTCTCTACAATTAATTTAGAGTAAATTTTATCGATAATATTTGCTCGTATTAATGTGCATACTTCATAAAAAGTTAAAGCTATAATTAAAAAGATTTTACTTATGCACTACCCCGAGGGGAGGTTTTTGTTGACATACAAGGAGTACTAATACCTCATAATAAGAGCATATACTGAAATTTTGCACCTAATGATTTTTGAAAGACTTAAATATATGTTGTTAGACAAAACAATCTTTAACTTCTAGAAATAGGAGGTAGCTACTACATGAGAAATTGGCTTGATCGTGCACAAATCTTGATGTATATTTAAATTGAAAACTTTTAGAAGTAAAATCCATTCATCTTAATAAGATAAACCCATCGACATAAAAAAATGATCAAATCCAAGCTCAAATGATCTCATATCAAGCACTTGAAGTAAGAAAAAAAATTGAGACATTAATTGGAGAACGAAATAATCTCCAATTTTGTATACTTATAATCAAATTAAGGGTGCGTTTGGAACGGTTGCAGCTGTCAGTAAAGCAGGTTGTGAAATTATTGTATATTAAGTTGCTTTTTAAAGTTGTTGTATATAAATCAGTCAATTTTGTTTGGGTAGTATTACTGTCGAATTGCTGTGCTGCTGCTGTTTGACAACAAATTACCTTGTTACCATTATATATGAAGATGAATAAAATTTGTTCATTTCCTTCAATTCAATCAAAAGAAGCCGGTCTTAAGGAATTTCTTGAGCTAAATGATTTTTTTTTACTGAATTTTATTTAATTTTCTGCACTTATTTACAATCAAAGCAAACAAATTCCTCGTCATCTCACAATTTCATTAAAAGATTTATCTTTTGAAAATAAGAAACTTATGAACAAATCTTGATGAAAAATTAAACGATCAGAAATTTTTATTAAAAAAAAAAATTAAAATTAGATTTCTGCCCCTTCTAAAATAATTAACAGTTTCTTTTAATCACAGATGGTCACTCATCGCCGGCCGGCTTCCAAGGAGAATACCGGAGATATGCTTTTGCCGTGAAGACCCATGAAGACTGAAGGATTAGAGGCCGAAAGCGCCAACGGAGGATAAGCTATGTGCCACGTGATCGTTGCTTGGCTCTCCATCATCTCTTGGGTCATATTAAGCTTCGACGGTGGCGACAAGAAATCATGGCATAGAACGAGCATCTCGCAACAAGTCTGAACTTGCTGAACTAATTTCCATATCCACTGACGACATGTCCGCGCTTCCTTTCTCGTCCGGAACGACGGGTATGCCGAAAGGGGTGATGTTAACTCACCGGAGCATGATAACGAGCATCGCGCAACAAGTAGATGGAGGAAATCCAAATCTTTTTCTGAAAAGTGATGACGTTGTGCTTTGTGTTCTTCCCCTGTTTCATATATTTTCTCTCAACTTTACTTTGCTTTGCTCGCTGAGATCGGGTGCGGCGTTTGTGACAATGCCGAAGTTCGAGATTGAAGCAATGCTGAGACTGATACAAAAGTATAAGGTGACGGCGACGGCGGTGGTGCCCCCACTAGTGTTAGCTTTGGCGAAAAGTCCTCTGATGGAGAGCTTTGATTTGAATTCTATAATAATTGTACTGTCAGGGGCGGCGCCGCTCGGGAAGGAGCTCCAGACCGCACTATGCCACCGACTGCCGCACATCATCTTCGGCCAGCCTCCGACGCAAAACTCATCATCACCCACTCCATCTTCGTCGATAAAATCCAAAACGGAACCACGGTGATCATCGTCGATGACCCACCGCTGGAAAATTCCTTACTTTCGTTCAGCGTTCTCTCCGGCGCCGAACTTCACGAGGAAGAAGAAGAAGATACGGTGTATTTGGCAAGGCATTTTCGTCTTTCTCTTACCCTCAAAAAGCGGAAAGCAGCCAAAACAGTGGAAAGCAAGAGTCTGAAGTAGGATCGAAAAAGTAGCCGCAGGACGCAAAAATTTTGAGAACGGAGCACGACCTCGTCTCCCCAAACCGCAACTCGGTTGCGTTTCCTACCGTACAACAGCGAAAATGGCGTCCCAAATGCATCCTAAGTGTGTCAATGAGAAGAAACCAACGAGACCAAAATTATATAATTTCATCATCATAAAGACATATAAATATTGAAAGAATGATTTATAATTGTTATTAACTTAACTTGGAGGAGCATTATTTGTAACTAATAATAAATACTATTGATATTATTTAATATGGGCTAGGTTGTGGGCTCCAAAAAAATTCGTGCCTTGTCCTTCCCTTCTTTCAAGAGAGTTTTAACAAATAAAGTTCAAGGGTAAATTTTTAGAAGACATATTGGGTTTGAAATAAGACACTACCCAGAGATTTCACCCTCATTTCACGAGGACTTTATAATCTGAGTTCTCGTTTCCTATATGTGCAAACCCCTATAGTTAATTACCCCTCTCGATAACGAGATATAATTTCTGATTAATGCTAGTCATAAGATAGGCACTGAATGCCCATATAATATCAACAACATTAGGATTTGACTTTGATATTGAAATTTAGAGTTTATGCTTAAAATTTATCACCGCAGACTTAAAAATGGTGATGGTGGAATGAAGACGAGCCCGATCAAGATCCCATGGTTCTGTTATCCTAAGCTATCATGGTCCCTGATTTACTTAGTCAGAGGAGGTAATCGACCCAACTTGATAGAAGGCTCTTTATCGGTAGACATATGCTACTTCATCCAAGAAAACCTTGTAGACATAGGGTGGTGTCTGTCTAAGAGGATATATCTGAATCCATCTTAATTGACATAGGGCTTTATGTCTATCAAATATATCATATGATTCATCACTCAAGAGTTTGATATCATTATGGAACATATGGGCTTTGATCGTGATCGTAATATAGTGGTGTCATTTTGTGGCAAAATCATCTGATCAGAGGGCACGTGCCACGTCTCTGCTAGCAAGTGGCTATTTGAGGATTAATCTTAGTGATACACCCCATATGATGATATTCACTCTTTCTGAGTTGAAATTAATTTCAAATTTGTCACCCTCAATAAACAGTTATGGGAGGTGGATGAGTTTTAGTTTTAAACTTTTAGGTGATATATTTCAATTTAAGGATTTAGACTTTTACTAGTTTTATGATTTAACCCTTTTGGTTGAGATTTATATCAACACGATCATCATCGGAGTGACATTAAAGTCACTTTAAATACTTGTATTTTATAGGAACTTGAGAGGCATTTAATAATTCAAGCTATGTCAACTCAATCCTTTTTAAGGAGGAGGATAAAACTTTAATATTTGACATGTGCAACATTCTTAAACTGTTAGATTTAGGAATCAGATAAACAATCAAAGCACATGCGGGAAAATATTTTAGTGTATTTGTGTAACAAATTTAACACACTAGCTAATGCTTATATATATGTGTAATACATTTGCCTCATTATTGATATATTAATATAAGATATTCATACTTGCATTTCATTCATAATTCTTGCATAATATATTTCACACATCAAATCTCCCTTAGGAGACTCATAGAAACAATCAATTGTATGGATATTAGAAGTCTTGATACTATCAACATTGAATAGCCCACTTAAACTTTACTTCTCCTTCAAAGTCATATATCTTGTTAATATTATTGTTTTCATGATTTTCCCGTAGCAATAGGTATGGCTAATAGAGTTATACACTTAAATGTAAACATTGTTAGAATAACTTTGATAAAGAATGCTTCACCAAAATAAGCAAAGCATAAAGTAAGCCAATAATTTTGGGGCAAAAGAAGAGAAAATCTTAGTTAATTCAAGTTGAATAAGAAATATTAATAGAGTTTTGATATATCATCACATAATTTTCTAGATCAGGCACGAATCTCGAAGTAAAATCAAGTTATAAACTTCAACAATTAAATTGGAAATCATATGAACTCCGATTTCATCAAACTTACAATCAAACTGAAGCCCTAAAAAATAGGAACCCAACAACACCAAATTCAACCAAATTCGAGCTCAAATAGGTCTAAATCAAAGACCCAAAGTGCATTTGAAATGTTCAATCCATAATTTGGATTAATAAATAGTTCCCAAACGTGACATGCTTACAGTCGAATCTAGCAAATCGACGAAAAAAATCCAACGAGCCTAAGAATATCAAATTCTGATATCGTTAAGACATTCAAATGCCTAGTAAACAGTCCACAATCAAGGTATTTAACATCGATAGTCCATTCAAACTACTCCCAATTTATCCTTTATCTTCCTCATATTTACTTATCATGTTACTATCAGAAAACTATAAATAGACCTCTCATTTCTCATGAGGAGAGCTCAAGCAAGAAGAGAAGAGAATGAAACAAGGAAGCAAGAAGAGAAGGAAGAAAGTGAAGAGAAGGAAAAGAGCTGTCTTTCCATTAGACTCTTCGACCATCGCTAGACTTCCACCCTACAACCGACCAACGCTGGAGTTATTCCCAACTACTGACTGATGCAGGAGTTCTGCACAATCGCCATCTGAAGCCAGAGTTCTACCCGACAGCCTACTAACGTCGAATTTCTACCCGACTGTCAGTTGAAGCCGGATTTCTGCTCGACCACCAAATGTTGACGGATTTTCTATCTCTATTTGTAACTGAATTTTAATTCGAGAGTTGATTATTGTAATATGATCATCCTCAATTTCAGGGATGAGTCAAACACTTGTAATATAAGCAAACACTAGTGAAGTCCTTTCAACTGAGCGTGGCCCTGTGATTTTTCCCCTTTTTAGGGTTCTACATAAAAATTTTGATGTTATATTTCTCCTCTATTTGTGTGCTGAATATCCATACAATGATGAGATGAAAATTTTCTAACTCTATCGCTGCGTATATTCTAGCCCGCAATAAGTTTTATTCTCATGTAAAAGGTATGTCCACTCAATTAATTTTGAGTCCAAGTGAATGAATATAAATACTCCAATAGCTTTAGGATCAATTTAAATACAAAAGGACCCAATAACTTTGATATTAAGGCAAGAAAAATAGTATGCTATTGTATCACATAATATGTTGAGTTATTTAAGTTAAATTCTAGCAAATGTATCATAAATACATATATTGATATCCAAATTGGGAATTGAAATCAGTGCATAAATTTTATAACTTGGGAGTTTAACGAGGAAACTCATTTGCTTGATCTATATCCAATGAAAGTAATATAATTAAAATCGCACACAAGAGAATTTGAAATTTATTATTTTACCTTGTTTTAAATCGATTAAAATTGTATAATTTAAATAAAATTTTAATTAATTTGGTGACAAATGTTTTGTTTTAAAATTAATTGTGTTGGAATCCTTTGTCATTTTTTTATTTCAGCAGCCTCCCGGCGTCTCCTACCCTCGAGGGGAGGTTAGAAGGCACTTGCCTTTGGTTCTTCTCCCCTGGATCTAAGATACGACAGCGTGAGGTCTTCGAATTTTAAACAATCCTACCCGGATCAAAGATCGACGACATAGGGTCTTCAATTTGAAACCACCATGGCCGAATTTAAGATACAACAACCCGTGGCATCATTAAGTTATAATAAATATAAAACAAACATGCTCGATGTAATTATTTGTTAGTAGACTCGATAAAGCTCATTTGTTAAGTTAATAAACATCTAGAAGAAGAGCTCGTTTATAGCTCGTTAAAGCTTGTTTGTTTAAAGTTCGATAAACACTAAATGAACCAAACATGAACACCCACTGATTTAAATGAACCAAACATGAACACAAACAATAAAACTCGGATCAAACAAGAACCAAACTTGAACAAGCTGATAATAAACAAACTCAAACATGAATACTCACATACTTGGCTCGGCTCCATTCATTTGTAGCCCTAATCCGATGGTAATGGGCAATGAAGATTCAACAATGGTAGTCGAGCGATGTTGATCCGACGACATTGGTCGGACCACCGTGGACGTCCGTGGTTGTTGAGGGGAGGTCTAATTAATGACGATGTTCAAACGATTGTGGTCAACCAGTGACGATCAAATGATTTTTAACTATGCTTGTTAGGTGCTGACAACCCAACTATGGAGGTTGGACGATGATAGAATCACAACTATAGTCAAACAGTTGTGTTAGTCTAATCATTAAGATCAGAAGGTAGTCCAATAATTATGGTCGAGCAATAATCTGACAGTGGTGCTTTGGTGAAGCTCTAAGATTCTTCAAACATTTGAGCTCTCTCCAAACTCTAATTTGATTCAGGCATTTTCATAGTTGTAGGAAGTAAATAATGCTGAAAGAGTTTGCTAGAGAAGAGAAGGTTATAGAAGGTGAAAGTGAAATCCTAAAACATGCCTTAATTATGCTCCAATGAATGTACAATCAGATTTTACAAGCCAGACAAGGCTATATATAATAGGATAAAGGGGTGTCAATTCGGGTCAGCGGGTCGGGTTTGGGTCGAACCCGAATTGACCCGGTTCTAAACAGGTCAACTCGAAGCCGACTCATTTTTATAAACGGGTCGGCTTTTTCAACCCGGACCCGACCCGCTCGGGTTGCCGGGTTGACACGACCCGACCCGACCCGCATTTTTGAAATACTCCCGGCGATGTAGCGGCAGCGATAGGTGGCAACATGTGACGCAGCGAGCCAGCGATTGCGACCGCGCGATGCTTCGGGTTCGCTGGTTCGCGCCTCAGGACGCACCGCAGGTTCGTGCGGTCCGCGCCACCGCGCACAGGCCAGTGGCCACAGGCGCACAGCGCTTCGGCCTTCGGGGCGCTTCGACCTTCGGGACGCTTCGGGACCCCGATCTTTCGCTTCGGGACTTGGGATGCTTTGGATGGCACACGAACATCGAACTAGGGTTCAACCGGGCAAAGCGGGCAACAGACTCAGGCAGAGATTTTCGGGTCATTTTCGGGTTGCCGGGTCAACCCGAACCCGACCCATTTTTAAAAACGGATCAGTTTGTTGAACCGAACCCGACCCGTTCCACAAACGGATCGACCCGAACCCGGATTTTCCGGGTCGAGTCAAATATTGACTCCCCTCATTTAGATTTTAAAGATACTGAGAAAATATATACAATGATTTATCCACAATAATTTAAGCTAAATTATTGTTAAATACTATGATAAAAGCCTATAAAACTCTATTTGGGCTAATACGATCGCAGACAATAGCCTAGCAGTTAGATGTAACTCAACAGATCCCTAAACATTTCACCCTCGCGATTTCGCGGGACCGCATCGCAAATTTTCCGGTCGTTTTGTGCTACGCGGGAACCCTAGCGATGCAGATATCTACTACGATTCGTCACTCCGCACCCTGCATCGTCGTTCTCTTTTTCATCTGCCTTCCCAATCTCAGCTCCGCTGATGAGATCGTAGGTATGCATTCCCAACGCTCCGTATCCATATCTCCTCTTCTCCCTTATCTGATTCGGTCTTTATTTTGCAGTTGATTCCCATCCTTCTCTTCTCCGTCTATCCCCCGGCCGGCCGGTGGAGAACTCTCCTGGCACCCGCACCGGCGCCGTCGTCACCTGCAATCGTGTCCACCTCCGCGGTCTCTCGAGGATTCGCGACATCGACAAGTTCTTCCACGCCCTTAGGATCACTGCTTCCGTATCCCAAGGCGATGGTCTCTTCCGCATTCAGACGGTCGAACTCTGCTTCCATCGGTATTATTTCAAATCTGAGCTCTCCATTCGCTTTTAAATTGGGATTTTGTTTTCCTTCTCACCTTTCCTTCACAGGAATGCGTCTCTTGGGATCGGGATGTGCCCTGCCGGTCACTGGCGGAAGGTTACTAATAAGGGTTCGTTCGTTCGTTCATTATCGCCCTTCGAGGATTGGATTCTTGACGTCAGGGTGCTACCGGATCCTTCAAGGGTCGTTGAAGTGACAAGTGAGCTGGGTGAGCTTTTAGGCCAATTTTTATTTGTTTTTATATTGTTTTTAGAAGAAAGAACTGATTTTGGTACGGTTTATCTATATGGTGTGGCAGAATTTCTGCCGCATCGTGTGGTTTTCCTTGTTCTGGGGTTTTCCATTATGCTGATGGCTGATTATCTGAGCGAGTCCATTACCTTCTACTATGGCAGCGCAATGACCATCGGCATCATACTTGTGATACTAATGGTTCTCTATCAGGTTAGGTTACATTAACGCTTCCAAATGGCATTTTGTTTATTCGGAACATCTTTCTTTCTTGGCAATGTTATGTGCATTTGCTCAAAAGAGACCCAACCGGGCAATATTAACCAGCACTCTGTTGAGCTTACATCTGATTGGATTATTAGGTTGGTTATTACACCAAGAGAAAGAAATCTTGGTGTCAGGGAGATCATGGAAACCAAGATTAAAAATTCAATCATTGAAATCCACTAATTTAATGTGAAGATGCCGGGGAACCCAGCTTTCTTTCTTAACTCACGTACACAGTTAACGTCTCCAAAGAGAATCCAAGCTTTTTGAATGGATGAAGATGCGTTTTTGATGAAATCCCAGAGCATTTTTCTAACCAAAATTTTCTTGGGCTGCAAATTGCACACACATAATTAAATGAAATAGACGGGAAACTAAAACGTTTAGAAATTTTAAAATTAATTTGGAATGAGGTCTACATAAAGAGCATTAAATTATATAAGTATTATTTTTTGAATTATTAATTATTTATATTATAATGGATGGTCAAGATAATTCAAGAAGAAATAAAATGGATGGACAAGATTTGCTTGGGGAAGGAAACTCAAGCTCCTTTTATAATAATAGTATAGATAAGGAAAATAATGAAGCCTAAACGACTGAGGGTGTAATTTGGATATCTTAATGTTGCAGATTTAAAGAGCAGGCTTAGTATTGCTCACATACTATTGTTCTAATGTAAAAGGTTGTTCTTCTGTAAGAAGTTTAGCACTATTAGAGGAGTTTTGATTCCTAAAAGGCAAAGATCCCAACTTTAACAAACTATGAAACCAAATGACTGAAGCTGGAGCTCTCCCGAGAGTTTAAGAGGATTATTTGACCTGTGCTCTGTTATAAAAGCATGCCATCTTTTTTTCTTCTCTTCTTTCCATCTTCCTCGAGACTTAACATTTTATAAAACACTGCCTAGTGTTTAGCAATCTTCTTGTGTTTATATATAAGCTTGACATAAAACAATGATTTAAAATGGATTGCTTGCTACATTTGGTGTTATAGACCTTTAAAATAATCTGGTTTAGGAATTTTGTTAATTGCACTTTGTATAACTTGTTTAGTTGGGAAATTGTTTTTTGAGAACAGTCTCAATTCTTAGAACTTTAAAATAATTCGGTTAACGAATCCTGTTAATTGCAGTTTGTATAACTTGCTTAGTTGTTCTCTTTTTGTTTTAGTAGGAATCAAGTACTCTAGGAGAGTTCTCTAAATGTTTGATCATTCATGACATACATGCAGGGTATGAAGCTGTTGCCAACAGGTCGAAAGAGTTCACTAGCTGTGGTCATGTACTCATCCATTGTAAGCATTTACTCTAATAAGCCTGAAATCTGTATAGCTTACTTTTCTTGTTTTGGTGTTCGGTGTCAATTACGTAGGATCACTATAAATATTACTTATTTATAATGTAGGTTGGTGTTGCAGCATCTCTTTTGCACCACATTTCTGTCCTATTGCGGGCAGCACTAGTTGAGATAGGAATCTATGAGGATATGCATAAACCTGTATGTAAGTTTCTTTGTGATTCATTCTTAGCCTTTTTTATTAATGAGCAACTTCTAGAACAACTTCAAAGCTACGATGATCATTTACTTTTTATTGTGCATCTTATTGACAAACAGTTATGCTTGCCCATCATTCATAATTCCATTCTATTGTAGTCTTATTGTATTTGGGCAATTCTCTATAATCTTGACAATATGCCTGACATCAGTGCAAGTCTACAAGAGCTATTTTATTGGAATTTTGTGCTTTATTAATAATACTATGTAGTTTTCATGATGGATCATACAACTTTATTGATGTGGTGGTTGTTGGCTAAGGTGGTGGACTTTTGCATTATTTGACAAAAGTGGCGTGGTGGATTTATGCTTATACCCTACTTCGCATATTGCTATTTTCATTCTATGTGATCGGGGGATTTACTTTTTACAGGATTAGCATGCAACCTTCCTGAATGGGTTTTACTGTGTGACCTTTGACTACTATTCCGTGGGTTAGAAGTTTTAAATTGGGATTTTTTTTTATTCTGTTGATTATGAGATTTAAATTAAATTGAGATTTTTTTTTTGGAATTAATTTAAGCCTTGATTGATTGATTATATGTCAACCTTATCTATTAACCGAAGTTAATGAGTAGTATATAAATAGTGGGCTAAGACATGCCATTCACCACATTTGGCTTGAATAAAAATTTTTTCTTCTAATTTTTCTACCTTGCAAGTGTTAATTAGATGTTTGATTCTTTCTTTATAAATTCGACTTCTTAATTTTGTGGGAAGTTAACTACATGTGTTGATATAAGGCATTATTTATTTTTTACTTTGGTAACATCATTAGTTGCTTAGTTATTGAGCAATTTAGTGCTTTGGACTTTGGCCAAAAATGGATGCGTAAGAAATTTTATTTTGTCAAAATGAATTTGTTTGCTTATTGTTTTTATTTATTTTTAATTATATTAAAATTTTCAGATGTTTATCGCTCCTAAGTTTCTAGTAAACATGTTGTACACTTGTTAGCTGCATTAAGAAACCAAACTTTGAGTCACCCGACATTAAATCAGTAGAATTTGTATAAGATATGCAATTTTATGCCTTAGTACAAGCTCTTTGATATTGAAAGCATTATTTGTTATCCAAAGAGTTTTTATTGTATTTTGACCTTCAAGCCTTGGGATTGAGTTCTCAAAGCTGGGACATAGACATGTTAAATGGATAAAATTTTTATAAGAACATTTTTTTATCCTTAAACACAATGTTGAATCTAAAAGAAAAAGTGTTGATTCTTGAAGCAAACCTTTTGTTGTGCATATATGCAAATTAAGGTTATTAGGATCAATCATTTAAAAGAGGATTATGTTATGTGAAAGGATTTTAGTGGAATTTATCAAGACTTAAATAACATTAAATCTTTATTTAACAAATACCATATGATTAAATTTGACTATTTATTTTTGGGTACTCATTTTTGTGTCCTTGATTAAATATGATTAAGATGTTGTGGATTTCAATTTAAATCATTAATAATATAAATTTTTTTAAACATATTTTATGACATATAAGTTTCATCATGATTATTCGACAAGTTTTACGCAGGCTGTCGACTATCTAACGCAACCCTCTACTTGAGACCTGACAACAATAATGTTGATTCCTATTTTTAAGAATAAAGGTGATGCACGAAAGTGTGTGAATTATAGAGGAATTAAGTTAATGTGTCGTTCTTTAAAATTTTGTGAGAGAGTTATTGAGAAAATGTTACGACCTGATACTAATGTTTCTCAAAATTAATTTGCATTCATGTCGGGTAGGTCTACTATGGAAGCTATACATTTATTGAGGTTTGATGGAGTAGTATATGGAGAATAAGGAGGATCTACATATGATATTTATTGATTTAGAGAAAGCTTATGATAAAGTTCCAAGAGAAGTGCTATGGAGAGTTTTAGAAAAGAAAGGGATTAATAATGCTTCTACTCAAGTCATTAAAGATATGCATGCAGGAGCTATTACTTGTGTTCAAACACAAGGAGGACCAAGTATTTTCCTATTTCAGTTGAATTACATCATGAATCAACTTTAAGCCCATATCTTTTTGCTTTAGTTGTGGATGTTCTTACTAGACATTTGCAAGAGGATGTACCCTAGTGTATTCTTTTTGTTGATGATATTCTTGTTGTTGATAAGACTAGAGAAGGAATTGAAGGTAAATTTTAGTTATGGAGGTCAACCTTAGAGTCTAAAGATTTTCGTTTGAGTAGATCTAAAACCGAATAC